ACAATCTTTTCCAAAAAATTCGACAATCTAGCAGATCCCTTTCCAATAGATCTGCATTTTTTCTCAAAGTTCTCTCTGGCATGGATATTTTCATGGCAGTACAATTACGGCGAGAAAACAGGCATCAGACTACCATTACTCAGGAGACAAGCTTTTGTTAAATGGTGGATAGAATTTGATGCTTCAAGAGCTTACCCAGAAAATGTCAAGCTCTGGTTTAAAAAACATCCAAAAAGCATCAAGCCAGCTGATCCAGAAACCTCCCTTTTCTTGAATCAAAAGGCTCAGATCACAGCAGCATTAGCAGCATCAACCAGCAAAGAAAATTTTGCAAAGAATTTGCAAGGTATTCTTCAATTACTCCAAGAAGAAGCTGAGAGTTCTAAACAGAAGACAGGTTCTTCATCTCCTTCTATCTCTTCTTCAACAGAAGACTTCTACCAAAATGAGGATGATTGTTTTGGAATCAACTTAGCAGAAGACTGTTGAAGAAAACCACTGTAGTGACGCTGATGGCAAAATGACATGAGCATGATGTCAGCATAAGGTGACGCATACAGTGACGTAATCAAAGTGTCGGCAGAAACTGTAGCATCACGAGTCAGTTACTGTTCACTTAACCTACACTGTTCAAACAGTACCGGTCATGTAACTTGTACTGTAGCAATAGTGATTTTTCAATCTATTTAAAGGGTTGCTTCAGTATGTTGAAGGCATCCTTTTATTAGCTGAGTTTAGAGAGATAGTCTAGAGAGAGAGACTGCGAGGTACTTCTGAGTTTTCTCTTCTTCTCTGTTTTCTCTTTATCTTTCAATCTGTAACTGTAATCTCAATCTTTATGTTTTGAATAAAAGTGTTATTTCATATCTGCTTATGTAATGAACTCTTCTCTTCTCCATCCTTCCACCCAAGTTTGACTTCGGCCTACCGTATACAGCTTGGGTTCTCACCTTAAATTTATTTTATGTTTTAATTTCTGCATTTTAATTTCAGTCATTTATTTCATATAGTAGTCCGTCTACTTTCCTGCTTTCCATTTCTGCTCTAGTTTACTTCATTTCCCTCCTCACACTTCCGGAATCCCTCCGGGGATGCCTTCAACATACTGAAGCAACCCTTTAAATAGATTGAAAAATCACTATTGCTACAGTACAAGTTACATGACCGGTACTGTTTGAACAGTGTGGGTTAAGTGAACAGTAACTGACTCGTGATGCTACAGTTTCTGCCGACACTCTGATTACGTCACTGTATGCGTCACCTTATGCTGACATCATGCTCATGTCATTTTGCCATCAGCGTCACTACAGTGGTTTTCTTCAGCAGTCTTCTGCTAAGTTGATTCCAAAACAATCATCCTCATTTTGGTAGAAGTCTTCTGTTGAAGAAGAGATAGAAGGAGATGAAGAACCTGTCTTCTGTTTAGAACTCTCAGCTTCTTCTTGGAGTAATTGAAGAATACCTTGCAAATTCTTTGCAAAATTTTCTTTGCTGGTTGATGCTGCTAATGCTGCTGTGATCTGAGCCTTTTGATTCAAGAAAACGGAGGTTTCTGGATCAGCTGGCTTGATGCTTTTTGGATGTTTTTTAAACCAGAGCTTGACATTTTCTGGGTAAGCTCTTGAAGCATCAAATTCTATCCACCATTTAACAAAAGCTTGTCTCCTGAGTAATGGTAGTCTGATGCCTGTTTTCTCGCCGTAATTGTACTGCCATGAAAATATCCATGCCAGAGAGAACTTTGAGAAAAAATGCAGATCTATTGGAAAAAGGATCTGCTAGATTGTCGAATTTTTTGGAAAAGATTGTCATTCCTTCAAAGACTTGTGGAGGAAGGATATCAAGGATTGGTCCAAAATAATCCCACCATTTATTAAACCATTGCGGGAAATTATATTGGATATTTTGCTTAAAGTAAATTAACCATGAATGTTTTTTTTCTTTATTTTGCATGAAGAAGACATTGGTCCAGGCTAATTCATAGTCCCAATAATTATATCCAATTGGATCATAAGGCTGGGAAAATTTGGTTATTTTATTTGGATTTCCATATTCTGCTGGGGTGATCACCTTGAGACTTTTGACACCAGTGTCAAATTTAAAGTTTGACACCTCATATGAGAGCCGTTAGATCAAAAAAGATCAATGGTGTCACATGCTTACAAATTAGAGTCATTGATCTTTTTTTATCTAACGGCTATCAGATGAGGTGTCAAAGGATCCTACCCCTCTCTCTCTCTCTCTATATATATATATATATATATATATATATATATATATAAAAAACTATTTTTGCTTGAATTAAGTTGTTTTGGATTTTTAATTCAATTCTTTTGGATTTTTTCATCCATAATTACTACGCTCATAAAGAATCTAACTTCAACTCAAATATCATATTGTTTTACACAATAACTCCATAAACAAAGTAAATGCTTGAAGATGGGTGGTTCAAACTCTTTTATTTAGCCAGATGTATGATGGGATAATGTTTTAGAAACTTCCCATCCTTCATGTTTAAAGCGTGCATGGGTTTAGTATTTCTCATTTTGTTGAAGAATTTTTTTTTCTGCCACAATATAAAACTGAATGATTTCTATTATGTCCCATTAATTTTTATCTCTTGTCATTATAATGGGATTCACTGGCTTTTATATGAGTGCAGAGGTGACAAAATGGATTCAACTCTTTAGGTTAACTTGTATAACCCGATTGGGTTGGAATTTTCAATCTCCAACCCGCTTGAACCCCCCGCCTCGCTTAAGGGAGGGTCAAAACGGCCATGGTGGGGCTGGTTGACCCTCTAGGTTGATTTTAAATTTTTATTTTAAAAAAATATTAATTAATGATATTTTTTTACACTTCTTTTATTTATTATTTTATGACTTTTACATATATAGAGTATAATTTTTGAAAAAAAAAAATCAGTTTTCTAATATGTTGGTGATTTGGTGGGTTGGCGGGGTGGGTTGTGTTGGAGGTGGGTTGGAATGGGCAACCCCTTTCAAAAGCAGGGCGAACAAGTTGGGTTATTTTAAGGTGGGCAGGTGGGGTTACCCGCGAGCCACCTCTGGGCTAGAAAAAAATTTCTACAAATATTTTCCCCTTAAAATATCAAATACATTTTAAAAAAAAGTTATATTTGAGGAGGGCGGTTATACGTACCATCATTTTAGACTTATCATTTTTATAACTTATTTGGCTATAATTTGAAATCAACGGTAGATATTATTTTATTTTTCTCTTTTTCAACCGTTTATTTCAAATTATTTTCTCATTTTCTGTAACAAAAACAGAAATATTTTGTCCTTAAAATATCATATACATTTTAAAAACAAAGTTATATTTGAGGAGGACGGTTATACTAATCACTATTTTAGACTTATCATTCTTATAACTTATTTGTTTATAATTTGAAAATAATGACAATTATTTTTTTTTCTTTTTTACCCATTAATTTCAAATTGATTTAATGATAACCAAGCATTTAATAAGAGTCATAAGTTTAAAATAATAGTAAGTATAATTTTTTCCATATTCAAGAGCTTAAGTTCTCTTACTAGTATTAAATGTGTTTGAATATTCAAATTTTTTAAAAGAGTTAAATTCTTCGCTAATGTTATAGTGCATAACAAGTAATTAACCGAGTGAATCACAACTAAAGGATAAGTGAAATTAAACTGAAAAATCTAATAATTAACCGAGTGAATCACAACAAAAGGATGAGTGAAATTAAACTGAAAAATCTAATAACTGTGTGTACGCATTCATAAGCATTTGCTGCCTTATGAATTGATTTGATTTTATTTTATTATTATATATAATTTTCTATAATTCTTTATTTTATCTTTCGGTTTGGCCTGTTTGATAAAACAAACCCAGATTCTTTATGCATTTTCTTTGTTCAAAAAATCAACCCAACCAAAACAAAAAAACATGTCATGGACCATTGAATCAAAGCCCAGACTTTATAGGGATCCATGAAACTCCGCACTTATACCTCAGAGCTAACCTAACAATGGCCGCCTTGTGATGCTATTCAATAATCCTATTATTCTGATAGAGCACATATATTGTTGTGTCTAATTGAGATAAGATACATATACAAATTTCAAACGATGCTCATTAAATATGTATGTGCTCTTATATATATATATATATATATATATATAGGGATTTGTATCTATCATGTCACATGACATAAAAAAGTTTCCTACACACACAACATTTTGTGAGGCCCGTATTTTTTAAAGCAAAAAAAATTAAAAAAATTAAGGCACGCAAAACGAATCTCTATAACATTACACAATTATTTTCTTACAACATAACTCTTATAAAACTCATATATATTTGATAGAGTTTGTCACTGAATTATTAGGATTTTTAATATGTATTATTGCCAAACACGAAGAATATTAGGATTTTTAATATGTATCATTATTAATGGATTTAGATAGATTCTAAAATAATATTTTAAATTCTAATCGAATACCACGTGACTTTTTTCAATCATTTAGAATCCTAATTAAATACTAATAGATTTTTTGGTCCAAAAATAATCGATTAAAATCCTTTAAAATCTAAATCCTATACATCCCCTGAATTCATTTGCTATATAGTATTTAATATGTTTGAATATTCAAAAATTCTAAGAGTTAAATTCTTCTTTAATGTTGTAGTGCATAGCAAGTAATTAACCGAGTGAATCACAACTAAAGGATGAGTGAAATTGTTATCAAAAAAAAAAAAAAAAAGGATGAGTGAAATCAAACTGAAAAATGTTATACTTGTGTGTACACATTCATAGGAATTTGCTGCCTTATGAACCGATTTTATTTTATGGGTTTTGCTTGTTATAAAAATCAACCCAACAAAAAAAAAAATGTCATGGGCCATTGAATACAAAGCCCAGAGACTTTACAGGTATCCATGAAACTCCGCGCTTAAACCTCTAACCTAACAATGACACCCTTGTGATGATACTCAGTAACCCTATTATTCTCTTTCCCCACCGAATGCCCTCACGTTGATGCCTCCTCCTCTTCCTGTGTAACGAGATGGGTGAACTTTACAAGATTAGCTCCATAGAATGGAAACCTTCACCTGTAATAGCTCTAGCCAACAGCGTTGATGGCTTGCGTGTTGCCGCAGCTCGCCAAGATGGCTCACTAGAACTCTGGCTCGTCTCTCCGGGCTCCATCGGTTGGCACTGTCAACTGGTATAAGAGCTTCTCTTTTTCTCTCTCCTCTAACTTGTTATTTACTAGAGTAATCTGATACATTGTTTTTTGGCGTTCGCAGACTATTCATGGAGACCCTAACAAAAGAGTATCGTCACTTATTTGGTGCCCTGGTGGCTCCATTGAAATGCCATGTGGTCGCTTATTTTCTTCCAACATAGATGGCTCCATTTCTAGATGGGATCTTTTCCACTTGAAACAGACGGTATTATATTCTTCCCTTTGCTTTCTAAGGTTTTGCATTTGGACCTCACCGTTTATAAATCGAGTGTTTTTTTTTTGTTTTTGGTGTGGAATGGATGTTAATACTATTAGAAACACGAAATTGGAGACACTGCTATTATTAGGACAGTTAGTTATAGTTCTTGTCTGGTACTGCTGAATGTCTTTCAGTTCCTCTTTAGTGTAATATTTATTAGGTTGTTGAAAAAGTGCTCTTAAATGAGCAGTGCTTTTATTTTTAATTGTTTTGACCGTTGTTGCTCGTGTGTTTGTTATATGTCTTGCCTAATTCGATACGCTTTTACAGACTGTGCTAGATTCAGATGGTGTGTCAATCTGGCAAATGGCTGTGACGCCGCCTAAAAGTTTCGTAATAAATGATGTAATGAATGGTGATCATTTGGGGAACGGATATGCAAGTAAATTCAACAAATCTGATGAGCACGGCGAGACAAGTGAGAGTGCTGAAGATTCTGATTCACCAGATCCTCTCAAGCAATCTGTTAATGAGTATCCACGTGTAGCAATTGGTTTGGATGACGGATGTGTGAGAATTTATGCTATCTCTGACACGGATGAATTTATATATGTAAAATCCTTGCCTCGGGTCAAAGGTGAGACTTTTTCCTTGAATCGTTTTTCTTGCTGCAGGTTTTCTTTATGTTATGCTTGATTCTTATTAAGAGAATGTTTTATGGTATTGTTCTCAGGTCGAGTTTTAAGTGTGACTTGGAGTACAGATTCCAACTTTATATATTCAGGAAGTAGTGATGGGTACGTATAGATGATTGATAAACATGATTGATAAACGATCATTTTATGACTTCATCTTGTTTCACTTTTAAAGTTACTAGGAATATTTCACCTATTTTCTCGCGCTAGAATCCAAGTATGTATGCTTAATTGTGCAAAATTTTAAGCAGATCCAGCGGGATAATCCAGCTTTTTTTTAATGGTTCTCATTACTTAGTTAAATATGCATACACATGTTTCTTCTTCTGTCTCCTCACAGGTTAATACGATGCTGGGATGCTGTATTGGGTAATGAAATCTATAGGATTACAGCTGGACTTGGAGGTTTGGGAAGTGGACAGGAACTTTGTATATGGTCATTACTGTCCTTAAGGTGAACGTAAAGGCATCTTTTTGTTGAACTGTCTTTGAAATTAACTAATATGAATACTTCTTCAGTTCATATTCACTGTATTGGTATAATTTTGGTATTGGAGTTCTTTCTCCCTATTTCCTAACCTTCGTTACTGATTGGTTAGTTGTTATGTAGGTCTGGGACTCTTGTTAGTGCCGACAGTAGTGGTAGCGTCCAGTTTTGGGACAGCAAACATGGAACTCTCTTACAAGCACATTCTTTACACAAGGGAGATGTAAATGCTCTGGCAGCATCTCCTAGTCATGATAGGGTGTTTTCTGCTGGTTCTGATGGCAAGGTATGGAGTTGCATAATTTGTGAATTCTTATGAAACCATTGCAATGGGCTGTCAATGATTTTTCTTGTAGCATTCCAGTGTTACAAAACTTTGTTAGTTGTTTGGCAATATGGTATGAACCTTGGGAGAGCTTCACCCCAAAAGCTAGCTTGTAAGGTAGGAGAGCCCAAAGTCCATATAAACCCCACGCCAGAATCTTATATCTGATGTTGGACTCCAAGTCCCATACCTTACAACTGGATCGTAACATCCCACCACACTCCACATCCCCGACACCGACGAGGCTTGGCTTTGTGCTAGTTGTTTTACTAGCCCTGGGTGAATACTGCAATGCTAGCATCGCCATTCGCGCCACTCAATTGCAACTGGGAGACATAGTGGAAGCTCTGATACCAATTAATAGGTATCAGAGTTAATTGGGAACAAGAATTTAAGGAAGAAACTTGTATTAATAAGATTGGACCCCAACTTAGATCCAACCTGGATGATTTCACAATGTATTCTCAAGGGTTAATTACAGAATGGAAAGAAAAACATCACAGTTAGGTGATTACAGAATTGCAACAGCCTACTACGGAGTAACTACTCTCTAGAACACTTAGAGAGGTTCTGGTTCATACGAACCTTGGGAGAGCTTTACCTTAAAAGCTAGCTTGTAAGGTAGGAGAGCCCAAAGTCCATATAACTCTGCACCAGATCTTTATGTTTCCGTTGTGGGACTCAAAATCCCATACCTTACAATTGGATCGAAACACAATATGTTTTTTTAACATTAGTTATGTCATGCATTTATCGGCTGATATCTCACATAATTACCTATATTTTTGAGGTTAAGTACTAGTACTTATGATAGGAACTAAACTAATAACAACAGATTTCCCAGAATAATGCTTCTATAAAAGTTTCATTCCAGTGAATTTAACAAGGTTCAACAAGATTAAATCGAGCTACATGCTATAGTGCTGCTATAGCTCAGAATTTGCAGAAGAGAAATAAAGGAAAATTAACAGAAAATGATAAAGCTTCAGGGTCCTTCGAGATGCCCTGAAATCTCCCACTTTGCATCAGCAATCCCAATGACCTCCAAGGTGCCGTTACTCTCGTTCACGACTCCCCTATAACACCGTCAGGCGCTGCATGAGTAACAAACTTTTGTAACAAATCAGCTGACTCAGCATGCTCAATGGAATGTGACAACATAGCATCAGTAATATTCTTCTTGGTCCATTTACCCCTATTACGGTCCCTGACATTTACTTTGCCATATTGGGCTTTATGAAGTTGAGCCCTATCAACTTATTAGTCATGTTCATGTTCAAACAGTAACTTTGTATAATTTGCTTTGCATACTTTTTTCTTTGGATTGATATGCCTGAAGTGTTGTCTCATGGGAATGTGTACGATGGTTTTGATGTCGGTAATGTCCATATACTAATATCATGTTTCAAAGAGTGATGGAATTAAAGTGTTTAATTAGAACAATGATTGAGAATAAGTGGGAAACCAAAAATCGCAAGTTGAAGTAGAAGTGACAAAAAAAAAAGATATGGTTAAAATGGACTACTAGAGAGGTAATTCTACTGTTAGATAGGATGGATGGTTAGGAGAATTCGTGTGAAGGATTCCAACACTTTTCTCCAAGAATTAAAGAAGACAGGTATGATCTTTGGGTTAATGCTTGGTTGTTTATTTTGTCATAAAAGTCGAAACCAGTGAAAAATAAATTTGTACATTTAGGTTCTGTTAGGAGATGGTTAAAAACGTTTAAGAGTAATTTTTACCATGAGTTGAGTGAGCAAGTATTGAGTTTGGCATGATTGATACTCTTATCATTTGTAATGACTGACCAATACGTGAAATATTAAAGGTTATACTCATGTGGATTGGCTGGTTTTGTTGTGAGCAAAGCAATGTTGCAACATTTTTGGAAGTGTCTTAAACTCCATTCTTTGATTTATTCTTGGAGTTTGAGCTATGTGGGGACTAGAAGTGATGCAATAACATTATTGAGCGAGGCTGTTTTAACAGGTGGATCGGATGAGCATGTTAAATAGGGTAGCTTTGAATTAAGTACATTTTGTGTGCAATTACCAAACAAGAATTTTTTTTAAAGATTTAAGCATATATATTACTTGATTCTCTCTTCAAGAAAATGGGAAAAAATGAAGGAAAGTGCCGAAGACGAAGAAGAGAGAGAAAAGCTCTGAGCAAAAGTCTGTAATGTTATTAATGATTCTGATACAAAAGATAACTGTATGTGTATAGAGTTTTAGTCTAGTGACTCAGCCAGTAGTAGTCTGTTACAACTATCAAACAGAAAAGTAACAATCAAACGGAATCATGCAACTGAACAGTGATACAGTAACTATCGAAAGCAGTAACTCACTAAGGCAAAAAAAAGTAAAAAACTTATAACTTTGACATGTTATGAAAGAGTGAGATCTGCCATCTCCAACCTTATCCTTTGTTTTCCTCCCTAACTCAAACTTTTATGTAACTGTTAGATAGTGCAACGAGAATAAAGCCCAAAGTGTTTTCTAGTGCCTTGGAGGCATATAATGGAAAATTACTGAAGTTTTTTGCTGGCAACATATATAGTTTTTGCATTCTGATTTGTTTCCTGTACCTTTATTAAAATATAATGTTACGCATGCTGTGTCTTCCCTATGTTTCTAATGTGATTGTGGCTCTCTATCTTGAATTGATCTTGGTGGAGGTCCCATGTCTATCATATCTGACATAGAATTGTATCACATTTATTGAGTTCTGCTTTTATATATTCTTAAGAAGATTGTCATTATGTGTTATGCATGAGTCAATGTATTGTGGTGTTGTTATTTTGTATTCATTAAATTAACCTGCCGCCCTTCTTTCCAATAAGGTGTTCTCCCATAGTAAGGCTGTTGACCAAACCAAATGCATTATAATAATGTTGGTTTAGTTTATTTTGTTTGAAGGTTATTCTGTATAAGCTCTCTAGTCAGTCCGACTCATCTGATGGTATCAATTCTTCGACAATGGTGAGGAGATGGATCTACGTTCATTATGTAAGGGCTCATACACATGATGTCAGGGCCTTGACTGTTGCTGTACCGATAAGTCAAGAAGGTCTGATTGAAAGTTATATTATTGAGAAAGTTTTTGTTATTTATTTTGTGAAAATTGCATAAGCATGTTTGGATGAGCTTATTTTTCAAAATCTGAAAGTGCTTTAGCTGTTAGGAGAGCATTTTTACAACAGTTAATTTTTTCTTTTTTTGAGTTTTAGTTTTAGTTTTTTTAAGAGAAAAATATAAATGGTTTTTGGTGCTATTTTCAGGCCAATCTTGTAGCATACCAAAAGTTATTTTCAATGCAGAAAAAGCATGTCTTTGCTGTAGAAAAGCTTATCCAAATGGGCAGTATCTTTAGTTGCTATGAATGCATTTTCCGTTTCTTTTTCTTAGCCATGCACTTCTGTTTAGCAGATACTTTGCCAGATGAGAAGATTAAAAGAGCTCGACGTGAAGAAAAGCCCATTGAATTTAGTTACCATAAATGGGCCCATTTGGGGGTCCCCATGCTTATCTCAGCTGGAGATGACACAAAACTCTTTGCTTACCCTGTGAAAGAATTCACTAAGTTTTCTCCTCATGATATCTGTCCTGCGCCTCAAAGAACACCCATTCAACTAGTGCTGAATACTGCATTCGATCAATCATCAATGCTTTTAGTCCAGTCTTCGCATTGGTTAGATGTTCATTTGCTGCATCCCAGAAATGTTCGCACATCATATATACTAAAAAAGGAAAAAAGAAATGTTAACACAGCTGGAGGCTTTGCAAAGACAGAAATTCTTGCCCGAGTCAAGAGTAAGGCATCTCGGAAGATAATTTGCAGCGCCATTTCTAATTCAGGGGTTCTTTTTGGTTACTCTGATCATGTCAAGCCTAGTCTTTTTGAATTGAAGAGGTGTGAAGTTGGAAAAATAACATGGAGTGTTAGTAAAAGGAAACTTCCCCAGAGATTACCATTTGCCCATTCTATGGTTTTTACTCATGACTCCTCTTGGTTGATAATAGCTGGGCATGATAGAAGGATATATGTAAGTTAGCAATATACTTCATCTCCATTATGGTTAAAATTGTGTTTTTGCACACTTCTTATAATAGGTTTTTGAGTACACTTTAAGCCTCTCTTTTTTATTGTTTCCCCAAGAGTTTCTAGACTTATGTATTACTTTGCTCCATAATTTATGATAATCATGCTGTGCATCATTAGCTGCATGCTATTCTTGACCTCCTGTATCACTGAAACTTGGTAAATTTTGATACTTGAATACTAGAAGACTGTTTAAAAGCCATTAAGCTTGGCTTAATTCCAAATTAGTTTGTATAATCAACTTCTAAAATTTTCTTTTGGTTAAAATGAAAGGGTTGGTTAAAATATTATTATCTTTGGATTAAAAATCTATTTAGTTTGTTTTATTGATTCTATTTGCTTTTGAATGCTATAGGTTGTGGATATCGCCAGCTCAGAACTAGTGCATACTTTTACACCCTGTCGTGAGTTGCAAGATGAGGAATTACCACCAACTGAACCTCCCATAACAAGATTGTTTACTAGTTCTGATAGGCAGTGGTTGGCAGCCGTGAACTGCTTTGGGGATATATATGTTTTTAACTTGGAGACACTAAGGTGTTGTCTCTAATTTGCTTAACTTCATTTTTCTTTTTAAAATTAGGAGGCCTATTATTGTAGTTACTTTGCTGTAGGTAGCTAGGACATCCATTTATTGCTCATGAAAATTGAAAATAAAAGGCAAACTTTTAGGGAGGCACAAAAATTCAATTGAGACTTCAATTGCGCTTTTGTTGATCTTTTTTGCTTAGTGGTAGGTTACAGTATCAAGTTGTCTGTTGGTACAAGATTATTAATTTAACTGGTAATGTCACGGGAATTGGTTTGGAGGGCTTATTCCCAAAGGAGTATGTCTAAGTAGCAGCTAGGAGTGGTTAAGAGCGAGAGCAGTTAGTAGCTGCTCTAGACAGTTAGAGGATCACTTAGGGTGTTATATGGTTAGAGGCTTAGAGGAGAAGTCTTGAGATGTATGTAAGTGACTCTTTTGTAGAGTTGCAGGCTTGATTGTTGTGTTGTAAACTTGAGATTTTCTCATTGTGAAGATAGATTTACAGTAATGGAGTTGGGAAAAGGTGAGAGAAATATGAATAAGATAGAAAAGATGAAGTTTATTGATGAAATAATACAAGAGCATAGCTCTTCTCAAATAATATCTCAGTTTGCAACACAAATACACAATACTCCAGCCTGCCTCTCTACACAGAGAGAGTCCCTTACATACTTCTCTCAAAACTTCTCCAAGCCTCTAATTGTATAAGCCCCTAACTGACCCCTCTAACGGTCACTACAGCAGTTAGTAACTGCCCTTGCCTCCTAATCAAAGCTTTTAACCACCCCTAGTTGCTACTTAGGCATATTCCTTCTAGAATATGGGGTAATACCTTCTTAGCCATTTCCAGTCATAACAGGTAATACCTAGGGATCCCTTATTATCCTTCCCCCCTCATGCCTTTTCATTCTGGGAGGTGGGGTGATTGCATGAATTATTTGATATTTGTATTAAGTAATCTTATTTTATAAAATAAACTTTTTTGTGTAATAGGCAACACTGGTTCATTTCAAGATTAGGAGGTGCCTCTGTCACAGCTGGTGGATTTCCGCCACAGAACAGCAATGTACTGATAGCTACAACTTCATCAAATCAAGTGTATGCATTTGATGTAGAGGCCAAACAGTTGGGAGAATGGTCAATGCGGCACACTTTTGTTCTCCCCAGGAGATACCAGGAATTTCCCGGTGAAGTTATAGGGCTTTCATTCCCTCCTTCTGCAAATTCATCTTCGGTTGTTGTTTATAGTTCCAGGTATACTTTTTATTTTTTTAATAAAAATAATAAAGGTAACTTTTTTTATAAAAATAATAAAGGTAACATTATGCATGGGTGAAATGATCAGAAATTAAATGAGAGGAGTACATGTCATAAAAAAACCATTACCCATAAAATCCGGACTTGTGAGAGTAGGGATGAGAGAAATCCTTTTCCGTGACCTTAGTATTTTATTTTTGGAGAAAGTAATTTCCTTTGCAAAGAGATGATAAACATGCAATATGCAACTTTATTTTTTTGGTGAGACTTATGGTTTATTTATTCGAAACTAGTGATTTGTTTAATTACTTTTTGATTCTTATTAAAATTTCTTATTTGGGGGCTTTAGACATATCTGGTTTGAGGAATTTCTTTCTGCATAGGAAAATCCATGATGCACATATTTGTATGCATTGCAGCACTTATAATTGCTTCTACAACCGTTTTTTTGTTTTTCCAAGTATCTTTCACAATCTGTTAGTTTTTGTGATACACTTATAATCAACCCTTCTACATCAATGGGTTGTAGAGTTGTGATTTTAACCATTCCTGCTCCGAAATAGAAGCTATGAAAATATTAAGAGTCTGTTTGGATCCTCTTTTTTTTTAAGCTAGAAGCTACTTATAAGCATAAGCTAGGCCAAACAGGTTTTGGAAAAAAAATTTATAATGAAAAACTCTTTTCTATAATGAAGAAAAAAGCTGAAAGCTAAAAGCTCCTATCTGCTTTTCTTGAATTGTGTGCTTTCTTTTTTAAAATGAAGAGTTACAAAGATAGAGAGAAAGATAATTTTCTTGAAATATGTGCTTTTAAGTAACTTCTAAGCTAAAATTGTTATGTAATTACCAAGCAGCTTTTAGTTTTTTTTTTTTAAGCTTTTTTTTAAGCTTTTTTTTTAGTTTTAACTTATAAGTAATTTCTAGCTTAAAAAAGAGAGGATCTAAACAGGCTCTAAATTTATGATGTTTATTTCTCATGTTCCGAATTTGTTCTATCTTCAGGGCAATGTGCTTGATTGACTTTGGGTTGCCTGTGGAGCAAGATGATAGTGGTATGCTAAAAACTCAAGATTCAATGGCCAGGAATTTACAAAATTTTAATGTTAAGAAGAGGACTGAATATGGGAAGAATTTTGCAGTTTCGCCGTTAGATAATCCTGTTTTATTTTTAGCCCATATTTCAAAAAATTCCTTCTTAATGATAGACAAACCCTGGCTTGAAGTGGTCAGAAATTTAGAAGCCCCACCAGTCCACCGACATATTTTCGGGACATAAGCTGCCTAAGAATTATTCTCAGCTTGAGGGGTTGCATGGTGGGGATAAGAGTCCTTTGTTTCACTTTGTCTCTCCATGGCTGGGATCCAGAATCATGTATTTGTTATCATAATCAATTTTGTTCCATTAGTGATATACTCCAATTTTTTTTAAAGCCTCAAGTAGTTCCATAATTTTATCCATAATGCTTTCGCCAACTTTGTCTCATGCTTGACGTAGTAGCATCTGTTGTGAAATTTACTTGTCGAAAGCAAATGAATCTTGTTTTTGTGTCTATATATATATGGGGCATGTTGTGGTTTTTCGATAGTTTTTATGCAACAACTGAGAAAATTAAAGCCTTTTATTGATTATTAATTTTCTCTCAGATTTGCTTTTTTTGAATTTCATTTATTTTGCTTAAAAATTAATATTGTAGGCACACTCACTCTTAATATTTTTAAAGAAAAGAAAGCTTTCCTCATTTCTGAAAGGGGTGACTAAATGTGTTTTATATAATGGGATAGGATCAACTTATACCGGTGTAAGAATAATAAATCTTACACTAAATCTTAACCGTTGATTTTCGTGCATCCAATGGTTGAGATTTATTGAGAATTAAAAATTAATTAATGAGTGAGATCTAATAAATCTTAACCGTTAGATGTAGAAAATCAATGATTAAGATTTGGTGTAAGATTTATTATTCTTACACCGGTGTAAGATGATCCTGCCCCTATATTTATATTCACCAATATAGCTTTTGTATAATAATAATAATGAATATAATACGGTCATGCTAAGAATTATTTTAACTTAAAAATTTAAACTGGTAACTGAAGATTCATTATTGATTTTTATATTTTTCTGACACATCTTCTACAATTAATTCAACTTAAAAATTTAAATTGATAACTGAAGATTTATTATTGATTTTTATATTTTTATGACACATTTTTTTACGAGTTTGTGGGTTTGAAACATGAATATTGTACAAATCTATCCCACACATGGTTAAACACTTTTCTTATTGTATGAGAAGTATCTTCACTTTTCTTATTATATGAGAAGTATTTTCTTATGTTATGACTTAACTAATGGTAGATCGTATAGTTGTTTAAAAAAAATTGCTTAGTTTTAACATACTAATGTTGCATGAATAAAAATTGCTTAGTTTTTATGTACTTTTCCTCGTAATTAAGAAACTTTCTAGATTTAAGAATCGCCTTTGGGAGGATCTTAAACCAACTTGCATTTCCTTATTCTTATATCTTGCAATGCAATGTTTTTATGTTTCCATTCTGAATCTTTATGTCTTCCAATATTACAATGAATACGTGCCTAACACCATATGTAACTTCCAAACGTCAACCGTAGAGATGGCAAGAAAGTAGGAATGATTAGTGAAAGCTGGGGTGTTGTCCGTTTCCAAATATCTCTATGTTCTTTTCTAATAAATCCATGCAGTTGGTTGGAGTCTGAGGATATAAAAACTTTGATATAAAAGATTTTGTTGGATATCCTACTAAAACAAATATTCAATAATTGTACCTAGTGTTATGAATGGATCACATTTGAAGTGGGTAGCAATCAGAAGCAGGTGGGGCTGCTCCTTTAGGCTGAAAATGAAGCTTGGCTTTTGGTTTCATTTGTATATTTGTCTATTTTGGGTGCAAGCGCCTTACCTTACCATATTAACCCCACCCAAAGTGGTTGTGAGCTAGGCTGGCTGGGGCTCAACTCTATAAAGTGGGGTCAGTACTCATTACTATGCCTTTGGATTTGATTTATATGCTTTGTGGTAGTGAGTGTGGTGGTGAGTGGTGAATTAGTTAATTCAGTTTTGTGTTTTATTACTTGAGAAAAAGGATGAACACTATCTAATGACCGTGGTTCGTGGAAGGTCCCAGAGATGCCTGCCACTGATAACAACAAAAGAAAATGCAAGACAGAAACCTTATTCACTTCATTATATTCTCTTAGGTTGTTCCCAACAGCATTGGCAGTAGTAGAGCATAGGTTCAGATTAAAAAACAAAAAAGAGTGAAATTACATCATAAGAGCTTTTTTCTTTTCTTTAATACTTTGAAAAAAAGAAAAAGAAAAGAGTAAAATAAAAAGAAAGGAGTTCCTTTTGACAAACATTGAATAGTTTCTCTCCTTTGACATCCTCTGGTCTAGACTCTTTCAACAATAATGCAGCATCAGTTACCATAACCACCGCAAAATCGTTCATTTCCTTTTTTCTTCATCGAAACCACCTAATTATGAGATATACAAAACACTTGTTAGTATATTTCCTTTTGAAGTCTTTTCTGGGAAACAAAAGCAGAATAATATTCAAGACAATTGGATCACCTGGTTCCTCTGAAGCTAGTTTTCCACCAAGAGAGCGCTCAAAGAAACTGAAGTGCTTCTGGAATTTGGTTTTTCTCTGCAGAAACTCAAGTCAAATTCAGCTCAACACAATAAAATGTGCAATGCAAGTGGCTGATAATCATAATGCAATGATTAAAGAAAGAACCACCAATAGAGATAGAGTTGTACCTTTATTCTTGTTGCAGATACACACTGAGAAAAATCCAATGCATTCTCCACTGCTCCATTCCCTGAGAAGCTCTCTTGCTTCTGTTGAACAACAAAAGAACCTATTAACAATTTTATTTTATTTTTTGCTGCTAAGTAGAAACTATATGCACATATTATGTCAATGACATTAACCTTGTGACTCTCCTTGGGACAGCTGAAAAGAGGAGAACTAGCAGTGTCATCAAGAGGTGAAGCCTGTTTACATCTGCCATATTCTTTAACCTTTTCCTTCTTTTGGGATTCTTTGGTGTACTGGGGTGTAGAAGGTAGGCAAGGATACCAATTCTCACAATAGTATTCATTATCATAATGTGGAGGTCCAGAAGAAGCATCAGAGACCATTGATAAATCTTCCTCAGGCTCCTCCATTCTTGCTTCCTTTCCTTCATAGTCTACAATCCCACCCTTCCTCTGGAAGTAATTTTCAGAAAGAGAGGATTGGTCCAAGTAATGGGTCCAACCTGATTCACTAGCATTACTGTATTGTGAAGCTGATATATCCATTCAACCCTTTTTTTCTTCTAGTAATTAAGTACCAAGGTTGATGTTCTTATATAGATTCTCAATAATGGTGATCAAGTGAAAGATCATAGAGTGGTAAAGGACCTACTCTTACCCCTTGTACTTCTTATGTAGATCTTCTCAACATAAGTAAGAAGAGGAGAAAAAGGAGAAAAAAAAATCATTAACAAACAAAGAGAGAGAGAGAGAGAGAGGAATTGCACTAGAATTCTAAACTGTGTCTGTCCTTTAGCACAATCCTTTCGCCCTCTTATTTTATCTTTATGCGAATGAATTAATATTGCCAGTTGGCCTTGTGTGAGTGTGTGTGTGTGTGTGCGTGTGTTTGTGTGTACGAGAGTGTCTGTTAGGAAAATTTTGAGAGAGAAGATGTGATAAGGGGAGAGAGATTATGGAAGCATTGCATTACCATACTCTTACCAAAAGGTAGTGCTGTCCTTTCAGGACAAAAAGTTAATCGTAATTTGGCCAAGTCACAACTAATGATACTTTAATGATTAGCTTCTTGTTTCTATTAATGGTTTCAGGGCTTGCAAGTTGACTGCACAATTAATGCTGTCTGTTCCCTCTCCTATGGCTTTGCTTATCTTTTTTCTCACCTCAAACATTGTGTCTGTTTTGCAACAACCAGCAAACCATTTTCTTCAGCTGTGAATGAGTCTGTCATTTTTATTTTTTTTAAGGTTGTAATCGAGGGCGAGCCTTAGAGCAACGATAAATTTGCTCTATAGTCCTGTGTGTTTTGGTCAAACAGCTCTTCACAAGCCAATACTTACCACTTAGTAAAGCTTTCTCTGTTGTGCTCTTGGTTCTGCTGATCCCATATAATTTTGAGGGTTCCTTATGTCTCTAATTCTAGTGGGATAATATCTACTACATGACATAATGAGTATGAGTATTAACCAAATGATGGTAGCTCAATTGACGCACGAGAACTGAGTAGGTGAGGTGAAAGCATATGTTTGATTCTCCCAAATACCATTTTTTGGAAGGAGTTTAAAGCCTTAATCTCCTGGTCCACGCCGAACAGGATTGACTCAAAAAAAAGAAAAAGAAAAAAGTATGAGTATTATTGGAGGTAGTTAACTAAAAGGTTAATTAAAGAGAAACTTACAATTTCAAACCATTTTAGAAGTATAATTACAACAGTGGAACAAATTTCAAATGATTGTCTAGTTTAATTTGGTCGTTATTTTGACATAAATTACTATTTTGAGTAACTGTTTGTTCTCTCTTAATACAAGTTCTATAAGTGTATGTTTCCCGATAGAGCTAGACAAACCCACATTTCATTGAAAGAAACCATTAGTGAGCACCTGATTTGAACGTAACGCTCATAACAAGCATTTTTGCTTGCAATAAAAAATACGGCTGGAACAAGAGTTGTTGGTCTAACTATTCAATTACATTTTAGGATTTACTTTGCACAAAGGGTAGTGGATTTGATTAGTTGGATCAGACACCAATGGTGTTATCTATCTATTAAAAAAAAACGGCTGATTATTTGAGTTTAATATTTTTTTAATGGGTTTTATAAGAGTTATGTTGTAGGAAAAGTGATTGTGTTATGTTATAGAGATTCGTTTTGCGTGCCAAATTTTTTTTTTTTTTTTTTGCTGCGGGCCCCACAAAATGTTTTGTGTGTCGGAAATTTTTTGTAGTCATGTTAAATGATGAACGCAAATCCCTTTCTTAATACTTAAATTCTATGTAGTCATGGCAATGACTCAGATTTTAATTGGCCACGTTCTCTAGGATGTTTCCTTTTTATTTTTACCATTTTTATCCTAATGCAAAAATTTAGTATCACTTAATTTCCTCAATAAAGATAATTGGATGTTACGCACGAGTGAAATTCAATGCAAAAAGTGAACCATTCAAGCTTTGAGAGGACATAGTACAAAAGATTCACCATGAGCATGCAAGAGACTCGAATACAATTCAGATACAGAAATGCTACCACATATGTGCAATTTGCTGTCAAGTGACAAAAAGCTCACCTCGTCCGAATAGTAGAAAATCCATACAGTTCTTATGACACGTCAAGGGCCCATTAAGCTTTGCGCTTCTTTCAATATCTGTGAGACTGTTGATTGTAGTTGGGAAAATAATGTCACATTTGGGCAACATTAGGCTTGGAATCTTATTGTACCGTGCAATGCTGATGAAACACACTGAACAGTAAAAATCAATTCTTCTGTTGACATGGGAAACTTGATAATATCAATAATTTAGAATAATCAATTAAAGGGTACCCTACCACATTTCAAAAAGCCAATGAACCTCTAATCATTTGTTTATTTTATTTTATTTTATTTTTTGTTGTGTCGATTGATAATGAAATGTGACTTTATGTAAAGATCATAGGGCCACTATATGATTCTGGTCTGACTCCAATTGGTCCCTCCCATTTAATAGAATGTGTCTCTTTGCAAGGTTTCTAATGCATTCTGCTCTGTTAAGCACTTGGATCGATCTCAATCAAAACTTTTTTTTTTTCATGTAAGGGTCAAATTTAAAATGAGTATCATATATAAAGACCAAAAATATATTTTTATCGAATTTGTGCAAGGGGGAAAATATAGATAAAAAAAAAAAAAAAACTAATGATTACATTAAAGCTTATTCCAGAAAAGTCTTATATATAATCTGAAAATAATGTGACAATATAACGATAAAGGATGAAAATAAAGAAGGCACACAAACCAATCAAGTCTCAGCCAATGAAGATTTTATGAAGCATATGTTACTTATAAAGAAAACAAAATTGAAAAGAAAGAAAAAGACAATAAAATAATAGCATGACAGGGGGAAGAAAGTATCTCATGGACCTTTTCATTTTGTTATAATGTAACTGACATAGAGAGCACCTCTGTATCAGTATGGGGTTTTCCAGCAGCACAAGCTTTGCTACTATAGTACTATGGTCCCCTTCAGATGGAAAAGTCAAAGATTGCTTATTGCCACAATGCCAAACCACCGACTTGGAATTCAAAGTCTTGCAAGAGATTCCCTCCTTTTTTTCTACTATCAACTTTCTTTCTCTTTCATACCCAGGACAATCAATCCAGTCCATATCACAAAGATTAAAGTCAAATGTTCATCTTCAATTTATAATTATTTATAACAAAAGGGTCATAAGTTGGTGTTGAAATGATTGTGAATTCTACATTCTATGTATGGCCCAAAAAAGAATAGGTGTCTACACATGTATATGATTATTTCAATTATTAAGTGGACTTGTATTAATGAATGAGAGCTATCAGCTATGAAGAATAATGAAGCATGGAAATCTAGTGTTCGTGAGTGACTAGTTTACATACGTTGGCATTCATCTATGCACTGAAGTGTGACAAAAGACAATTGAAAACTCACTTGTTCTTCAATTCGTCCTTCTCAAACAAGAGTTAATCTGAATTCTGAAGCCACAAACAACAAATTTGAAGCTTCACATTGGTCGTGGTAAAATGCCGACCAACCCTTGCACATGTATTTATTTGTCAGCTCCAGGACCATGGACCACCCTAACGAAGCAAATGATTTAAGGGCTCGTTTGGTAAACAAGATAGGATATGATATAGTGCTGATAAGGGTAGGATATGATATGGGGCTGATAAGCCCATATCATGTCCTGTGTTTGATGAGCACCTGATTATAAGATTACGTAGAAAGAGAAAGAAGAAAGAAAAAACAAAATATAATGCAATAAATATAAATATATTGGGTAACGTGGGGATATATTGAGTATCCAATATTGTTATCTTATCATGTTGAATCCTAACCCAGCTCCCCCCATAGGATAAGAAATCATGTATTGGATAGGATAAAATGAGACAATAGGATAAACTAATCATATCCTATTGACCTACCAAACCAGAGATAAAAATAGGATATGATAAGTTATCATATCCTATCTTCTTTATCAGGTGCTCTAAACAGGCCCTAAAAACATATAAAATATAACAATGATACTACATATAATAGCCTACACTAGAAAATTGCTTAATTATAAGATTAACCATGGAATTAAGCATGATTTAGAGAGGTAAATGAGCTTATTATGAATGATAATTAAATACATGCCAATCAAGTCATTTAGGACCAAAAGAAATTATTAGCAAAAATTTGGGGTCAAAGTATAATTTTGGTAAAGTTTAGGGACCAAATTGTAATTTTGCAAAATTAGGCATAAACTTAGTTATGATGTTATATTAAGCTTCTTTAGGAAATTTAGTGACATGAAAATGATATTAATTAGGTTGAATGAAGTTTAGAAAGTAAGCTAAAAACAAAAGAAAATAGAAGGACAATTTGGTAATTTCCATAACAAATGGTCAAAGTCAACATTTAGTGATTTAAATGAATTAAGACTTAAGCAAAATGAGTTATTTTCTTCTCATATTCTTTCTCCAAGAGCTAACCCGAGAGTGAGAGGGGAGAGAACAAGTTTTTCACCACTTTGATTTAGTCACTTTCAAGTCAAGAAATCTTCATCAAAGTTAAACCTTACGAACTAGTGAACAAAACACTTAAGCTAGTTCACCTTGGAAAGCTTTAGAGAGTGAGTTCTCCTATCCTTTTAGGCATTATAACATCCCCGTCTTGAGCCGGTTCAGTTAACACACATATGATACTAAACATAAACAACAGAAGACTTAACTTACGAAAATACAAGCTAACTTTTTCTTTTTTCTTTCATCCAATTCACATGATATATAACAATGCATAACTCTTTCTAGTTCACATTCCATCTAGCGGAGACGAAAATCAGACAGAGTAACAGCTGAAAACTGGACAACTGGGGATTTACAAATCCCACTCTAAAAGTATCATGATAAACAGTTTATACAATCCATGAATTACAGAATACTAGATGTCCATCACAGATAACATACCCATCCATGGGCTCATACATAACTTGGCTCCGTGCCACAAGGTCTATCAGCATGCATAACCAACATGTAGACATATAACTGAATACTACATCA